AGTCTTGTAGTTAAGCCTGTAACAATCAAAATGTAGGGCCGAGAAGGACAATTTCAGTGTTTAGCTAGATCTGATGGGTTTTGGAGGAGAAAAATTAACATGTCTAAAATAACTCCATGTGTCTTTGCATATTTGCTCAAAATGTTAACATGAAAAATATAAAACTTAAAATGGATTTAACCACTGTTCAATGCAAGCTATTCCATTCCATGATGAGCACTCCCGAGCATTACTTATTGATCAGAAAAACAATCCGACATGAAAGAGAATTTCTCTTCTATGCCAGTGAATAGAAATACATTGTCAAGAAATAGGCAGTATCCTTCAGCATATTTAGAAAGAGGGAAAACGCAGAAGTCATTCAAAAGCTAGGTAAGAAGCCCGACAGAGAAGCCCAGGGTTCCTTGTCCAGTGAAAGCCCCTGCTTGCAGTGAGCATATGATCTACACTCTGGAGGTCTCCATCTGCATAAGGTCCTTGCCTGGATTTGCACAAAGTTAGGATATTCCACAGGGCCTTTTAATGACACAGAGAGGCTGGGGCTGACAGGTATCCTAGGCCAGCTATACACCAGTGCCCTCAGTTGCTGCTCAGGATCCTGAGAGCTTCAATAGTTTTAAGCAAGGATGTGACTACCTAGCTTTGGACAACAAATCCCAATATTTGCATAACAGATCTGAAGGTGTCAAAATAACTGGGTGTTTTTATGCAATGCACTCTCTGGGCTACAAGAGCGAGACAGCTCAAATAAGTGGTTAGCCTAGACTGTTAGGTAGAAAGGATATAAAAGTACAGAATTGTTATTTATTTACTAACATTTTAACAAAACAATAGATGATAGTTTGGTTACAGAAATTTGCATTAAATGTACATTTTTCTTTCACAAGAGAGCGCAGTGTATTTGCTTTATTTTCTCATTTCACTCTTTAGAAATGAGACTAAAAACACACAAACACTATTATTGTGTGACTTTCAAGCCATATTTCTTATCCATCGCCATTTACTGAACAAAACTGTTCTGCAGCAGTGGATGAAGACAGCAGCTACTACAGCACCAAACCCATCTGTACTAATGAAATCATAACTTATGTGAAGACAATTTTCCAAGTCTGTGCACTAGTTCACATGCAGGCCTTCTGTTTTGAAGGATATATGACTATGCATCTGTGCAGTTTCCATCTATCTTTCCACAAGCTTATGCCACCAAAAACCCCCAGGACAAGCATTTCTGCTCCATCTGTTGTCTCCTTTATTATTCACTGTGACTACTTTCCAATGGTGGTCATGTCAAGTGTGAACACACTCATATTCGGTTACTAAGAAACAAATCGTCTCAAAAACACTCGAGTCATTTTAAAGGAGCTGTGTTTAGAGAGGAGGCATTTTATCATACATTTTTATTAGATAATCCAAGTCCATTTATAAATAGTGGTGTTTATAAATGGTGGTAAAGTATCTTTGAAATGCACAAGGCCTATAAAGTTGTCAATAGCCCCGAACAACACTATTTCTGTAATGTTTTCCCTGTTTTGAAAAGAAACCTAGCAATGAGCAGTGCAGTTTTTTTGTTGGCTCACTGCTAAAACAGCAAACTAGTTTTCATTTTCACTTCAGAAGCCAGAAACTGGCAACAAGCAATTGAAAACATGTCCTAGCACCTTCCAGGTCTTTGCTGTGCACTTTCTATATTGAGCTTGAGCCACTGTTTTTTTTTGCTAATTCTCACTAGCACAGTTTTTCTGCACTAGCACAGAATTCAAGTTCCCATTTTTTAAAGCACAAATAAGAAAGGCAAAATTTAACAGGTGCAAAAAGATTAATTATTGAAGGTGAGAAAACTCTTCTTCAACTTAGGCACCAAGCATGCACCAACATTTATTTAGTGACAAAGTCAAAACAGCAAGATGTTTGAAAATGCAAAATTAAAATAATCTGCATGTAACCTTCCATGTGTGCTTTTTTAATGCATTGTGCATTTGCAAATTATTAAAAGATTTAAAACAATACATATGAAGTGCCTTGCTTCTCAAGAGACATCACTAGAAAGCTTTGCATCACTTCCCTTCTTGCCTGCATTGTCAAACACGAGGGCCACAGGGGCATCTGTGCACCAGCTCTCACTCACTGACAACACAAAATGGAGCACAAATAACCCAAAGTGTTCTAATGACAACTACAAACAACCATCACATACTTTTAATTACTGAAACAGACGCATTTTAAAATGTGCGTATCCTTCAATACTGCTACTCACACATGCAATGTGGAAACACAGAAACTGAGAAGTAACTTATCAATTCAGTATTTAAACTTAGAGGAAGACACTAGATCTTTCAAATTTAGCCCTCTCACATTACTATTTTACAGTGTTATTCTAATCTTGCTCACATAAACTTCACACAACATTTTTAAGACACCACTGGTACAAATTACCACACATTGTTTTCTTCAGTCTGAGGGTATTAAAAGGTCAGCCAACCCTCTTAAATCTCAGAGGGAAAGTGAAATGAGCAGAATGACTCTGAGCAGCAGAGGTTCTGAACCTGAAGTAAACAATGAGGTTTTGGTTCTTCCTGATGTGTCAAATGATTGTGGCATATCATCACAATTTTAACTGTAAATGGAAGCATTATCCGTTACATACATGGGTACAAAACCACTACAGACTACCAGAAAAATAATTAAAACCCCTGTGCTAGACGGAGGCTCAGCATAATATGAATCAATCACATCAAATGGCGGACCTGAACTGCATGAAACATGCATCATTAATCCATTACAGTGCTGGCTGAAGTGGCTAAGCAAGGCCATGGAAAACCAGTCCTCTTAAACCTTTTTCTTTGTTTTATTATTGTTACTTAATTCGCCTGTGAACACTGCAAGAAAACCGAAGCTGTCTATTCATAGAACAGGTAAACTGCAGGCAGCTCCACTTTGTACCCTGTACCGCACTACTGCCCACTCGCTCTAGGTGCTAGTGGCGGGGGTGGGGCTGAATCACTAACCACAGCTCATGAAGTTCAGTCCACAGACATGTTAGTCCCTTTTCTCTACTCAATAAGAGCTCCCTTTCACTTGCCTGTACATTTGGAAGACCAATTCCGAGTGAGCTCATGAGCTGAGGAGCAAGGCACGTGCTGTCTCCCACACCCACATCACTTATTCCCAGATAAGTGACGCCCTACTCACTTCTGCATTTGGAATGCCATCTGGCTTTTGGATTTTCAATCAATTCACAAAGCTGTAACAATCTATTAGTACCATGTAACAAACGCTACAAAGTAATTACGTACTTCAAGAGAACACATTTCAGGCTTTTCCCCATTCCAATCGATTACAGGGCTACAGAGAACGTGACAGTGGGAAGTGGGAGTAAACTAGAAAACCAGAAGAAAATCCTTACAAGCTAGATAAGAGCATGCAGACTCCACACAGACAGATGCCCAATCCCAGGTCCTGGAGCTGTGAGGAAGCAGCACTAACTGCCATGCAACTGTGCTACCCCTGCATGCTTATTTATGGCATTGGGAAATCTATACATATTGTTTTGAAACTTGATTTAATGTTGCCTAATCCAATTAAATGGACTGCTTGTAACACTTACAATTGCACAATAGACTGAGGCTGTATATACACACACCAGAAAAAGGAAAGGTTCAGAAACAAGATGCAATTTGATGAGCCCTGTGAGGGGAATCAATTAGAAATGAAAGCATTCACTCTGATAACAACATGAAACTGCATATTACTTCCCTATTTATTTGCAATATTGTGCAAATAAAACAGATGCCCATAATGCTAGTCCTATATTTATCTCTTAAAACTGAATGCAAATGACAATGCATGCATACACTAAAAAATACTAATTTTAGATAAGAATAATTCACAGACAAACTTCCTATTAAACAAACTAGGTTTGTTAGTAAAATGCATGCTAAATCCCCAGCTTACAATTACACACAAAACATGCTGCGACCCTGAAGTTATACCCAAAGGTTACTGCCCTTAGAAAAACAGTCTCGTGTAGTAGTTAAAATAACACCTAAGCATATTTTCCTCAAACCTATAAACCAATTGTCACAAAATTAATAAGCAAAATCACTGAGTCAAACAGACAGCTTCTATATCATAAGAATGGTATTATTTTAAAATGATCTAAAGTGCACAAAACCTGAACTGCACAGATTGATATAACCTGCCCATAAGTACTACACATCCCCTTGGTATATATGCTCAATATATCTAATAGAATGATAATCTTAGAAATTGACTCCTCAACAAACCTAAAAATTCCCGGAAAACTTTTAAGTTGAATTGGTCTGTTACATAAACAAAGAAAAATCAGAAATGTTCTATTACAAAGGTTCAGATGATCAGGTTCAGTTGTTTCAGCAGGAGACCCTACAGTGACAATAAACCACCAGCGCACCATCAGCTGACTGTTACAACAGTGACAACACGGGACTTCTGTAAACGGCCATACACGGGCCTTGCTGCAAGCATGCAAGTAATGTACCACAGAACGAAGCGCTGACGGTAAGCTTCTCAGTGGGAATGACCGCAGCCTTGTGTCAGTGCGATCACAGGAAATGCGGCCACAAAACACACACTTCCCACCCGAGGTGACAGCACGCCTGTCCCTGGGCGATATATTTATCAACACAGCTGGCTGGAGCAGCACCTCAGCGGGCCGAGCCCGAGGCGAGTGGACAGCCAAGCCGGTGACGGGTCCGGGCTCGGCTCGCCGGTCGGGCCAAGCTGTCCCTCCAGACCCTGCAAGGCGACCGAAGGCCGCTTAATAATATTGGATGAGCGGCGTTCCCCCGGCCCCATTTCTGTGATCCGGCCATCGTCGGCGAGAGATGATTTAGCATTGCTCACGGCAACGCCAGCCTCACCTCCGACCCGCACTGACAGGACCACATCGCGGGCGGCTCCGACGGCCGCTTCACTACACGCCCCACACGCCCCACTCTGGATCCCCACAGCCCCCGGCTTACCTTATTCAGGGAGGGCACCAGCAACCCCCGCCATTTCGGCGCGTTGTCGTCGCTGAAGAAGTCGTACTGGAGTTGGGGCGCTTGCATGGCTGGTGCTCTCTTCACAGGCTGTAGCGGAGCCAGAGCGCTGCTGCTTTTCCCTGTCGCTTCTCACATCAAAACGGGAGGGAGGAGGAGGAGAGGGAGCCCAGGGGTGGGGGGGGGGGGGGGGTGTTGGTTGGTTCGGTTGGTTATAGCGTGGAGGAGCAAAAAAATAATAAAAAATCTAAAAGCAAAAAGCCGTCGCAGTCAACAGTGTCGGAGAGCGGGCGGGCGGCGCGCGGTGAGCTAGGACGTCGCTCCCGCACGCATCCCAGCTCGCGGCGGCGATCCCCGGCCGCGTGCAGATGTTCGAGCGCTGCCCCGCGCCGCTGGGCGGTTAACGGACACTGCCCGCCGGGTCCGCCTTCGCACAGGCTCCGCAAGAGCACGGCTATGAACTATGTACACTGACGACAACAACAACAACAACAACAATAATAATAATAATAATAAAGATCCCCTTCCCCGCCCCCCCCCACACGCACACCTCCCCTCCCGAACCTGTTTTCACTCCTCTCGTAGAAATCCGCAAAACAAAACTCGAAATCTGTCACCGCCAACCGAGCGGCGCCTCAGTAGGCGACGCTCCTTTCAGACGGCCGGTGGGAGCAAATCCTCCTCGGTTTGGGGGAAAAAACCCTCTTCTGTACATAATCGCCCATTTTCTCCGAATCTTCTCTCCAGCAGAAGGAAGGGAGGGAGGCTCACCTTGTAATCCTCCATGAACTTAACGTTAGTATTTTCATTATCTGGTGGGTGTCTCCCGGCCAGACGGTTTTCTCTGTGGGGGGTGGAGGCTAACCTGAGTCCCCGTGCCGCAGCCCCCTTTAATTTCAGTATCTTTCGCCCAAAGTGGTTAATTCGGACGATTGTTATGGCTCGGGTGCAGTTGTAGCTGGAACAAGGAAGGAGCATGCGCACTGGATGCCTTCTGCGTTGTCTTCCCCTCACTCCCCCCTCCCCCACACGGAATGAGAGCTGGGGGAGGTGAAAGGGCGCAGGCAGGAGCAATGGAGCGCCGGGAAATCGAGTCCCTGCTCCTGCGAGGTGCCGAGACAGCGCCCCCAGCCGTGAACAGCCGAGTACCGTACATCCCCTGGTAGAGGTCAAGAGGAGCAGCTCTTGAAACACAAATGTACTAAATATTTTGTTTTTGTATTATAACTCAATGGGTCGGTATTGTCTATTTTAGCTGTGTTTGATTACATTTATTCTACTGCTTCAGATGACTTCGGAGAAATTCTCTGATTTCTCTCAACTTCAGAATAAATGAATGTAGTTTTAGTTTTAGCAAACTTTATTATTGTTACATCTTTACTGACACCTATGAAAATATACAAAAATAATTCCTTACACTTATATAGTACTTTTCTGGACACTCTTATCAATGAGTAGAGTACTTTACAGGTAATGGGGACTCCCCTCCACCAACACCAGTGTGCAGCCCCACCTGTATGATGCGATGGCAGCTATAGTGCACCTGTACGCTCTCCACACACCAGCCTTCAGTGGGGAGGAGAACAGTGTGATGAAGCCAGTTCAGAGATGGGGTTTATTAGGAGGCCATGACTCCTAATGGGGGAATTTGGGCCAGGATGCTGGGGTAACAACCCTACTCTTTTCAAGAAATGCCCTGGGATTTTTAATGACCACAGACAGTCAGGATCTCAGTTTTAAGTCTCAGCCAAAGGACAGCACCTTTTTACAGTATAGTGTCCCTGTCACTATACTGGGGCATTAGGACCCTCACAGACTGCAGGGTGAGCGCCCCCTGCTGGCCCCACTAACACCTCTTCCAGCAGCAGCCTTAGCTTTCCCAAGAGGTCTCCCAGCCAGGTACACTCCTGCTAAACTCCAGTGGGCAGCCAGCTGTGATATGGCTGTTGGCTATATATTTATTATTATTTAATTAAATGTATTATTATTATTATTTAAGTCATTTCATTATGACGCTTATGTGTAGTTATATATAAATCAGCGTTTCTTAATATTTTTAAAACTGGACATTTTACCTACAGTACGTAGCTCACCCTCAAAACAGTACATTTTACTCTCTTCTTTGAACTACAACTCCCATGAGCGCTTTCGCGTGTGTCTTTGTTTATGAAATCTACTTTTACTTGATTGGTCAGGTTGCACAGGTCTTGATTGCCAATTGGACGCTTATGAGCGTCAATCACTTTTGCGTTTAATTGTACACGAGGAAACAAGGAAGACCCAGATTAGATTTTAATCTCTGCGGGAACGGGGGCGTCCTGCTTGTGCATTTAGTTATTTTTACATCTTTAATAATGAATAAGTACATTTTACCTGTGTCTGTAATGGGGACTGTAATTGGTAGCGCTGTTCTGATAAAGTAAGTAGCAGATCGTGGAGCTGCGTGCAGTGAGCACATTCAAGATGCTGTTGTATCGTACTCTGCAGAAAATTGCCATTCGTTGTTTCTGTTTACATTCGCTCTTTGAAATGATAATAATGGCCGGTATTATCGATTTGCAGCGTGTTGGTGCCCACTGTGAAACCGTAACGCGTCCGTAAAGCCATGTGTACGATGGAGGCGTCCAGCGGTTTTTACCTGCATTAGAAATGAACTCGTGAGTCGAATGCCCGTGTCGCTGTCTATCCTTCATAGATGAACTGTCACTGCTCGTGCGTTTGCATAGATACCCACTTATCCTGCCATTCCCGATCTTGTGTGTACTTTTGAAAAACCTCAGCAGAAAGTCTCAAGTATCCCAAGGTCACGCAGCCCTGACATGGTTTCGGTAACGTGGGCGTGTGTGTGGTGTACGTAGCCCCGTATATAGTTAGCTGAAGACAGATTCGAAGAACGTTCAGTTTTAGAATTGATGTTGGTATAAAGATCTGTCTCCCCATCAGTCAAATGCATCCCCCCCCACCCTTAAAGTCCAGCTGTTATCGTGAGCGTTTTATCGTGGCTTGTTTTCAGAAAGCGAAACGTTTTTAAACGTGGCATGGCTTCATGCTTTGACTCAAAGGTGGTGGTGGGGGGTGATGTCAAACCTGTCCAAAATAAATGCAGCACTCTTCTGTTATTCTCAGTGGTGAGCATGCTCACTGAAAACATCCTCACGTTAAGAAAGAAACGCGTTGTTTTAAACGGTGCAAGGGAAAGTCATTCACAGGAGGCCAAGAGTTGCACTGAAAGGGCCTTTCATCTGCAGTTTTGATGGGACACCTGAGGATTGCTGTGTTAAATCCCTCACTGTACCATAATGCCCACGCACAGTTCCTACCTGAGCCTAGAGCTCCCCGTGGCAGAGCCTGTCCTTGTTTCTGTAGCGGTGAGCAGACCGGCAGGGAGTGATTCTCCTCTGGATGGAACGCCGATATAGTGCAGCTTTCCCACATCACAGCTTGTACCTGTTTGTCCAACACAGAGGACTGGAGCAGCTGGACTGAGGTGTAGAAACAGCAGTCTCCGCAGCAGTGTTGCCGTGTTACAAAGATGGTAAATTGACGCCCAACAGGAACTTGCATTTTAAATTGGAGGGGTGCAGAGAGGCTAGGGTTCTGGCCTCTTGTCCTTTGGTTGTGGGTTCGAGTCCCCACCTTGCAGCTCTTCATACTCCTGAACAAGACTCTTTGCGCACAATCGCCCAGTCCTCTTAGCTGTGTTAAGGTGTACCAGCAGGGCTGTGCTCTAGTGATGGAGCGGGTGTAGTCTGCTGAACCAAGCAGAACCTCCAGATTTCTTTGTCTTTTTCTAGGGACTACTTTAGCGGGGGTGTTTGTCCCAGTAAAGCGAAGATCACTGGCAAGACGGTCATCATTACTGGAGCAAACACAGGCATAGGAAAAGAGACTGCCAGGGATCTGGCCAGGAGAGGTGAGGAATCCTTCATCCTGGGACGTGCCGTAAAAACAAACTATGAAGTAGCATGGGAAAGTCTCGGTTTCTCTCTGGTATTTGTGGCAATGAAAATCAATCCTGGCACATTCCAAAACCAAAAAACATCTCCTCTTTCCTTAGAGTCTGGTGTTCATTCACTGCACCATATGAAAATGCTAAGCATGTCGACCCCTGTGAATTGAATGTATTAGCCTGAAGTACAGCAGTCGGTCTGAGGAAGAAAACCAAGGAAGTTGTTAGTATGATCTTTTAACTGTAGTGACCATAAGAAACTGCAGGGTGACGTTTTAGACTTGGTTCTTTACAAACAGTTTACAGCGCTTTTTGTAGCAAGTATGGAAAAGGGGAAACCGCAATAAAGCGTTTTAAGATGTTTACAACCGAGACAACAACATTGAAACGATGTATTTGAGAAGCAGTCCCCTTTGTCTGCATTCCCTCTCGTTGTGCTAAACGTTTTCAGAATTCTTTCCTGAAAGGAGGCCGTATCATCCTGGGGTGCCGGGACATGGAGAAGTGTGAGGAGGCGGCCAGAGAAATCCGAGGGGACACTTTGAATCGGAACGTCCACGCCCGGCATGTGGACCTGGCCTCCCTGAAGTCCATCAGGGAATTTGTACAGAAGATCAATCAGGGTAGGAATCTGATTTCAACATTGTACTGCTGACTGCAGCTCTGATCACGTGGATGGTACAGAGGCTCCGAGCTGCGGATTGAGTTGTTCCCTGTGCTGTCTACAGGAAGCAGGCTCTGCATCCAGCAACTCGGAAATCTGGACCTGAAACACCAGGTCCCTCTGAAATCTGAATTCTTCAGGGCTTGTGCCTCTTGTGTGTCCTTCCTCAATACACGATGCTAGCAGTTGTCTATCTTATCAGCCAGCGGCTATATCACCCTGCAACTCACAACTGGCGACCCCACTGAAGCTCAGCAGGTGTGAGCCTGGTCAGTACCTGGATGTGAGACCTCCTGGGAAAAACTAAGGCTGCTGCTGGAAGAGGTGTTAGTGGGGCCAGTAGGGGTCTGTGTGGGCCCTAATGCCCTGGTATATTGACGGGGACACTATACTGTAAAAAGGCGCCGTCCTTCAGATGAGACATAAAACCAAGGTCCTGACTCCCTAAGAGTATACAATTTCTTGCATTAGGAATTTGTCTTTTTTTGCATACTCCAATTTGCTCTCCATGAGACACAGACAGAGACAAGCTTGGGGTCAGAGCGCAGGGTCAGCCATTGTACAGCTCCCCTGGAGCAGTTGGAGTTAAGGGCCTTGCTCAGGAGCCCAACGGAGTAGGATTTGAACCTGCAACCTTCCAGCCACAGGCGCAGATCCTTAGCCACAGAGCCACTGCTGGCTAGGTAGCTTGTTCCAGACTCCCTGCACTTGTAAGAAATGTCATTAAAAATCCCAGGGCGTTTCTTGAAATGAGTAGGGGTGTTATCCTGGTCTCCTGGCCAAATTTTCCATTGCCCTTTACCAATCAGGGCCTCCTGGTAATCCCCATCTCTGAACTGGCTTCATTACTCTGCTCTCCTCCCCACTGAGAGCTGGTGTGTGGTGAGCGTACTGGCGCACTATGGCTGCTGTTGCATCATCCAGGTGGGGCTGCACACTGCTGGTGGTGGAGGGGAATCCCCATTACCTGTAAAGCACTTTGAGTGGAGTGTCCAGAAGAGTGCTATATAAATATAAGGAATTATTATCAGTTTTTAAAAGCTAGTGTATTCAAACTGAGTCTCTCACAGAAGTGCAAGCAGTGACAGAGTCCATGGAACACTTCATAATTGTAAAGTAATATATTATTGTTTATTTAAATGTCACAATTCTAGTAAGGGAATGAGATCTCTAAAGGGCAAAATGCTCATTTATGGACTGTGGGAAAGACAGCTTGCAGAGGGGTAAATTACGAGATGAATATGGGACAGATGAATCTTGTCCCTAAAGGGAAATTCGAGATGTGGGTCAACACTGCCAACTGTTGTTGAGTCAGAAGTGTATCTGATGGGTTTCACCAGCGAATGCGAACATAACAAAGAAAAAGGTTATAATAATACAGGGTCTGGCAGAATATAATGACCACTTCTGCCACTCCCCCCATATTTATTAGGATTTTCAGGGTGGGAGTGAAAGAGGAACAGATTTCATTTCGGAATGCGCCCAGATGTTTAGTGCCAGGGGAGATGAAGTGGGTGACAAAGACATGTCTAAATGTTTTCTAGAAATGAGCCGGTGAATTAGGTTACGAAGCAAAACAAAATCCTGATAATGTCGGACTGAAAGATGGCTTGTTTGTCACCCATTCAGAATGAAACACCATTATAGTTTAGATTAGGCATTTGAATCAGAGACCGTGGCCTCCTACATCCTGCAGTGCCTTCTGACCGATCCGGGTCGTCAGGACGTGCTGCTCATCTTGTTGGTTTGCTACCTGTTGGCTTTCAGAAGAGGAGCGCGTGGACATTCTGATCAATAACGCGGGAGTGATGAGGTGCCCCAGCTGGAAAACGGAAGACGGCTTTGAAATGCAGTTCGGCGTTAACCATTTAGGTAAGCAGCTTCGAACTTTGCAGGACAGGAGGTGGACGGGGGAAGAGAGATGCTCGTTGCGCCGAAAATCACACACATCACCGGCCTTAACAGGAGACCTCACAGCAGTGCCTTGACAACACCAGCATCCGTATATTACAGGCTCTACAATTACAATGACAAGCATTATCATCCAAGCGGGAGTGCACTCACTGTATCATTAGGATATTTACAATTCCCTCAACTCTGCTGTACTGTACTGTGATTATTAGAAAATGCCAATATATGTCTAGATTAACTGAGCAGTCTTGTACAATTCTATAGATACCCTAATCTCCAGTATGAAGAACATCAAAAGCCTGGTTTGGATATTTATGTCCCTTTTGTTTTACCAGGTATTTTACTAGGTAGGTGAATGTGAAACAAATTCTATTTTGCTAAGACAACCTGGTGACCCATTTATACAACGATAGCTACCCAGCTCAGGGGCACAACGGCATGGTCCCACCTGGCCTTCAAATTTACAACCCAGTCGTCCACAGCCCTAACTACCCGGCCTGGCTGTGGGCAATCTATACGTATTCTGAGCTAATTTCACTGAACAAAGTCATCTTCCGTTAAATCACTGAACAGTAAAATCTAAAAGTAGCAGAGGCAGCTCAGTTATAATTACTACCCTGGCTGAAACGCTAGATTTACCTACTGAGGCACCGTGCTGCGGTTAACCCTCTCTGTTTTCTGCTGCACACTCCTAGGCCACTTCTTGCTGACGAATCTCTTGCTGGAGAAGCTAGTGAAGTCGGCCCCCAGCCGGATTATAAACCTGTCCTCGCTGGCTCACGTGGCGGGAGAGATGGATTTTGATGACCTGAACTGGGAGCAGAAAAAGTACGACACCAAGAGAGCCTACTGTCAGAGCAAGCTCGCCAATGTGCTCTTCACAAAAGAGCTGGCCAGACAGCTGCAGGGTGAGGGAGAAACACGGCGCACTTTCGGACTGCTGAACGGCTGTGGAACGAATCTTCACCGGTGCAGATTTTTGATCAGTCATATAATACTCAGATTCTGCTCCTCCTTTTAGGGGGGCATTCTGACTTAGAAGCAAAAAGTAATAATCCCACAGATTGAAGCTTTGCTACCACTGGTTTTTCACATAGTGCCTGAACCTGCAGTTCCGCTCATACCGAGAAGGATCACTATTGCAACAACACCTCATCAGTAGGGTAAAACTAACCTGGGAGAATACTCCACTGTTCCTGATAGTCTTTTGGCTTTAAAAGGCTTGTTTTACTGACTCAAATGACAGCTGTATTTACTACTTGAAAACTCTCAGATCAGCTGCTGCCTTTCCTAGGCTATGAAGGCTGTATGTTCCCTGTCGCAGGTACTGGAGTGACAGTAAATGCTGTACACCCTGGTGTGGTTGCCACAGATCTGGGGAGGCACACAGGAATGCATCAGTCTCCGTTCTCAAGCACAGTGCTAGGTAAGGCATCCCAGTAATACTGTTCAGTGTCCCATGTCTCTCCGTGCTAACAACAGTGTTTGGGTTTAGTGCCTGTCATTTCCATCCTTGAACACATCTTTACCATAATGTTAATAATAATGTTTTGCAGCATTCTCTGAACAGAATAGCGCTCTCTGGCTCCACGCTGAGCGATTCCCTCCGGATCTGTGCTACTTGTTTCCACGAGAGTCGGCAAACAACTTTACTGATTTATTATTGTTCATTATCACTTATTCATACTTATGCAAGACCAGGACAAGAAAGAGTTAGAATAACAGATCAGTTCCTTCCTGGTTTTGCCACATCAGCAGCCTCGGCCTAATGTACTGTACCCTCATTTCCATTCGAGTGCTTCGTCAGCATTAAATAAGCCGAGTCATCAGTCCCTTGCAGTTGCAATCAGATCGCCTCATCACTAAGGCTTCCAGGTTACTGACTGCAAAGGTCATGATCACCAGTATTTTTTATTATAAAACACCATTTAATTCAATAATTATCCCCCTTTTGGCGCCTGTGCAAAAGCAGGCGTGATCGGCCTTGTTGACGGTGCCCCGTGTCTCTCTGCTCCCCGCAGGGCCGCTGTTTTATTTGCTCGTGAAGACGCCAACCCAGGGGGCACAGCCCAGCGTCTTCCTGGCAGTCGCCGAAGAGCTCGCGGGGGTAACCGGCAAGTACTTTGATGTCTTGAAAGAGAAGGAGCCGGCGCCGCAGGCCCAGGACGCGGAGGCCGCCCTGAAGCTCTGGCAGGCCAGCGCCAGGCTGGTGGGTTTGCCCCAGGCCGAGTCTGGCAAGGGCAGCCCCAGCCTGCAGGTGTCCCAGGAGGACCGGAGGCCACTGCCAGCCAGCTAAAGCCCCACTGGCCAGCGGGTGGGACAGACGGATGTGACCTTCAGAAAAGGAGTGGATGTGAAAAGATGGCGGACCCTGGCTGTTTTTGTGTGTTTTAAGAGGCAGCGATGTGCACTTCAAGGCCACAACCACAAGGTGTTTTCAGATTGAACCACCTGCATGATGCCAAATATGTAGCGTCCACAGTAAAAGGAATCTAAATACCAGGGTGACAAATGAACCTTTTTCTCCATAAATGCCCCGTTCATCTCCGCAATATAGAATAGCTACTATTGACTTCGAGCCTTGTCATGCTCAATCAAGGGACTTTAGGTATCACAATGTTTCTGTGTGTCCGAAAGTTTTAATAATAATAATAAGAGTTTTATTACTAGTGGGAGTAGAATATTCTTCATAAGGTGTAAGATGGTAGTATTTAAGTAGTATTTAGATGATGTCAATCTCATTTCACCAGAAACAGAAAACAGTTATGTGCCTTTGACTCAGTTTTGATGCAGAAATGAGGACATATAGTGCAGAGTTCAGTTCTGGAGAAGCCATACTTGGCAAATAGTTCACTCAGGTAGCAGTAAAAAAAGAATTTAGAATGACACTAGTCCATAACAAGGACACAAGCTATGGCTCCGCTGTCATAAAACTGACATTCCTCAATAAACCGAGCCATGAAGAAAGATAATGTTTGCACATTATAAGCAGCTGAACACAACCTGAAACATTTTTGAAGCAAAATCCAGGCAAATGTACAGTACTTAAAACCAATTTATTTTATTTTACAGTATATACATAATGCATTGCAATATGAAATGTTAATGTTGAAAAAAAAAGTTGTTCATAATCATTACATCCTTTTAAGTTGTGGAAATATTATCCAATGGAAAATATTGTAGTGTACATTTTACTACTATTAAGTAGAAAATATTAGTTTCTTTCCACCACCAGAGATACTCCATAAATGCACTGTTTATACTATAGCATTGTACGAGGTAGAGACACCCAACTAATTTTGGCCATTACTCAACAGTATGGAAATCTCAAAACAAGTAATTGGCATAAAACCTTAAAATATACAATAGTTTAGCTTCTTAAAAGCTATATCCTAAATAAAGGAATGCATTTCTCTTGAGAGTGGACTAACAAGCCAACATTTCATAGTCGACAAAACACCTCGTTGAATGAACTACTACATCAAACATTTTCTGCTTCATTAAGACACCAAACGTTGTTCCAACAGTACCACTGGACAAAGGCTGCAGCTTCACTCCAGCTGGCATTGCTTGATTTCCATCTTTTCAACTTCAGGAAAAAAAGGTTTAAAGTTCTGGCTTGTAGATAGATCTCTGTCAGTTTCTGAACACCACTGAACTCTGGATTATAGTAAGTAAGAGTAAAACACAGCCCCCATTGTCACAGTTTGCGGATGTGAGTAAATATATAATATATATATACGTAAATCACATTTTCAATACCTTTTGTGCAAATATTAACACCAGTGTATGCCTCAGCATTAAAAACAAGCAATTTAATGAATAATGGCGTACAATTAAAAATTAAAACCAGAAAAGCATATGGTTAAAGGATTTGTATTGGAAGGACTAAACTGCGATTAAAAAAATACATCAGTGTTAGTAAGATGGGTACTTTGCTGCTCTTCACTCACTGAATACTTTTATCCTGTACCCCAAGGAGAACTTGACCAGACAAGCCCTTTAAATTAGTACCCCCAATAACTATTTGCATCACTCGGAAACCTTTACATCTGTACAGTCTAGACACCTGTACAACATATATATGCACTGATATCTACATTACGAGTCTTAGTGTACAAATTCAAATAAGATGAAGTCACTTCCTCCAAAAAAAAATGCTACATTTATATTTACAACGATTAAATATTTAAGTCAATTAAGCACTTGTGTGGTCAATTAAGATACTAGTTGTGGTGGCAACACTTTTTAAAAAAAATGAAATTATATAAAAAAGTTCTCAACATCTTTTGTTACATGCCACAATAAATAAGAAAATAAAAAATATACGAGTCCGAAGTAACCCATAAAGTAATGGCAGCTCTTCTCCGATCACTCTGATGCTGAAGCAGTAGTGTGGGGGGGAACTTCGGCTTGGGACACGGGACCTCCATGCAATTCCATCAGTAACTGTTTTCATGTCCTGCTAAGATGTACAGGTTGCTGTGTGCGGTAGGGTTATCTGTTGGCCTGCTTTCCAACACTACAACTCTGGAAAATAAAACAAATACATCTCTGAGATACAGAATGAAGTTCAGAACCCACAGTGCAAGGCAGCGTCAAGTAAACAAGCGTTGACGCGGTTCTCGAAACCTCCACAATTCCCTTGCCTTTTTTTTTAAAACACTTCTGTAGTTCCTGGCTTGCAACGTCAATACCGTGTGTGTCGTACACTCTTCTCAGAAGAGAAGCCCAAAGTGTCAAGCTGGTTTCCTGAATCTCCGGTTGAAACGTTTCTCGTTTTAGAAAATGGCAAATTGACAAAAGCGTTCTTTGTGAAATGAATACAAGGCCTTTAGCAGTAACCACTGAGGATCCCATCGTGTATGGAAAAAGTGCTTTAAGATCCACTGTTTTTAAAGTGCGCGCAAAAAAATATTATTCCAATTATAAAATAATTTCGGAGTTTTTTCCAACTCATTTGACGTCACATCTGTGTTACTAATAATATGTGTTTATAAATATTGAGGGTATCATTTTGGGGACTACTCCTGCATGCTACAGTATTCCGCAGTCATTTATATTGTCAGAGCAGGAGGACACTGGAACCTTGTGAATAAGGATCATTTTAGCGTTTTTACTGAGGCCCAAACACAGTCCATAACCACACTAATAAAAGATCTCGGTTAAAAGTGGTAAACATTCACCAAAGCACCCGACCATCTTGCTTTTCAATAGGTAAGCCGTAAGAGGGCAGCACTGTGCTAGTCAAAGAAATGACAATCAAGAAAAAACATCCCAGAGAATGTCCTGATTTCCATGAATGTAATGCTCTTTCTAGCTCGGCATTAAGTAGAAAGAACATTAATGGCTTGGAGTGCTTCAGCCCACACATAGCCTGAATCAGGATCTGCTGCTCAATGTGCCCATGGACGTCCTAGAGGAAGGTCCCCAGGACTTGGGCAGGTTAAGTAAAGAGTTGGCATAGGTGTCCCTGGGTCAATATGTGAATAATATAGCAAAACCATAATTAATTATACTCTAGTTAAAAGGGAAGATCTTAAATAAGTTTACAATCACCAGTACGGCAAGTTATTTACCTTTCTTGCTGCAAAAAAGCTTACTACTAACCAGCAGATTTTCTGTGAAAGTGCACCATGAGAGAAACCAGTTCTAATTCCAGAAAGCACTTCTCCTATTACACTTCTTGAAGCAGGTGTGCAAGCCAGATAAAGGAGTGTAAAGAGAAGAGCTTTTTTTTATCTGAACAAAATCAGTGAAAGGGCTTTTCCTTCAGATCTGTTACACTCCCAGCCACACAGAAGGTGTGTTAAAAAAAGGCTTTGTACTGAGGACTGTGGACAGCTGGCTCATTTCATCATGAATGCCAGGACCAGGAAGTCAGATGGCAGATTCAGCAGGAAAAAAAAGATAAGATGCCTTAAAGAGGAATTCATATGAATAACCAACAATTAGTATGCAAACAGCTTAATAAATATGCACCAGAAGAGAAGACAGAGCCCTTTTCCTAAATCGAGAGTTGAAAGAGCCCGCTGACCAGAACATTCAGAGACGTACGGAGAGCTCTCACAACACAGACAATACCTGCGCTGAGCACTGTCCACACCTGAGGCCCTATTCTCCGCTAGACAGTCAAACAGCTCAAAGTGTCTTCAATTAAAATGAAACCACAGTGAATATGCAGGTAAACACAGGGGAGGTCAGTTGTCAGGGAACAGCGTCATATATTTTCAACATTTAAACTTGTTTTCCTTTCAAACAGTACTCATCCTCTTCAAGACCTGCGTGCAGGCTCGGTTATTAGCCTGTACGTTTTTCAAAGTGATATTGACAGACAAGATCTGTTCTTCAATACAAACGTTTTACAGATAACAGCAATGGAATAGAAAAAAACCTAAAGGTAAATCTGTACACAGAGTTTCCAAGAAGTGTCCTAGGAGATTGTTCACTTTACTCACCTGTCAGATCCTAAGAGCCTGAAAATCCTTGTGTTGTCAGAAATCTCCTGCGTGATCTGTTATTTGAAGGGAAACAGGTCATTTTCAGTTACCTTGAGGAAATCAAGGGCATGCCTTGTCCTCGACAATGGAGAGCTCTTTCCAGTTTATTTTGAATTCAAATGCACATTTACCTTTGTAGGCTGGTTGCTCTGCAGCAATTTCACCATTGTCAAGGTGCTCCCTGTTGCACAACAGCACTTAATACTTAATAAAATCTGCTTTACTCAAGCTGAATCTTTTTCCTCAACTTCAGTTGAGTACTTTTTCAAATATGAGAAGGCTCCTGTCTCTCGACAAGATGATTTCGGAGAAGAGGAAGGAACGAAGTGACCTCTTTATTCAGATATACTTTACACCGTACCTCACAGCATGTCTACCTCTAAAAAGTAAGCTACTTTGTATGTGACTCCTTTTTATATATCAGGATTTATACATTCAATACTTTTATTTCATTTTATGTAATGCTTTAGCAAGGGTTAGCATTGAAAACCTTTGCTTACTTCATTGGATTTGAAGCTTCGTCCTTGCATGCCGTGTTTCCAAAATGCCAAGACGCTGTCCTGGAGGCAAACTGGAAAGAAAGAGAAGAAAAAAAAAAGACATTCATTTGGAAGAGAAGGGTTGTGTCTGGGTATTTATAAAAACGCCTGTCTGAAAAACAAAAGTTTGATTTGACCACATTGAAATAATCAGTGGACCGTAACTGATAGATCTCCAGAAACAAGGAAAATCCTCTGAAAGAGAAGGTGTTTGAGTGAAGACAGATGAAACACAACAAAGGCAAAAAAAATCAACATAAAATCATAAAGGAGTGAAGGAGATACGTGACAGGGCAAAGGAATTGTTTTGGAATTGGAGAGCAATTCTTTCTCTGCAGAACCTGACTTGTTTTGAAATTATTTTAATGGTCTGCAACAGTGCCAAGGTCACAGCTCATCCTCGCTGCAGAAAAGGAAAGAGAATATTTGTTGAATCATCACAAACCAGAGCCGATCACAATATTTTTCAACTGGAGGCTACTCACGTGTCAACAAGAAACAACAGTGTTTGAACTACTTTAGTAGAAAGCTGAAAATGCGAAAACTGAAACGCTATATTGCAACAGACAACACAATCTTCCCCCACAGAGTATTTTATGATTGGCGGACTTTTGAAAATTGAAGGTAGAATAAAAAAAGGCCTGGGTCATGTCACTAGCTGACTGTGACTGGGATTCCCCAAGGGGTCATGTCACTAGCTGACTGTGACTGGGATTCCCCAA